AAGTCAGCTTTTAAAAAAGCTGCTTTTACTTTTGCTTTTGCTTTTAATCGCATCTACTTTACTTTTAAGAAAAACTAGCAAACATGTAAGAATAGTGTGTGTTGTCTTTCTCCTCTCTTCATATATAAAAGGGAGTTTAGGTTATGTAGTATGGTAGATTTTATAAGGATTATCTACTAAGGAATAAGAATCAGTGTATTTTCCCCTATGTATCTCTTCTAAATCCTCTCTTCTTTTATGAAAGCTTGACTCAATAGTATTTTACTTTTGTCATGCAAAGATTCAAGTATATTCTACACTTGCCTCTTTGAAAAACTTATGCATCAGAAAAAATTTATCCACAATTCGAGTATAAACCATATCACTATGCTTAAATATTCATGGGTTAATGTATCAAGGGATTTGAAGATCTTAAAGTGACCATGTTTGATTATGAATGGCACTGAGAGGCCTTATTTAGATTAATATTACCTCAAGATATAAAGACACAAGGATCTTTAGGTCTGTAGTGCTCGACTTGCCTCCATGATATCAGAGCCATAATCTTATTGACAAAGGAATGAGGTTGCATAAGTAGAACTCAAAAAATATTAGTAAGACACTAGAAACCTTGACTATTTCCTCTAACCCAATTCATCTTCCTTTTTTTCCTTCGACTGTCTTCTTTCCTTGATAAAACAAACCCTCTCCAACAAGATAGAAAATCTAGTTTAGTTTACCACCTTATCAGAAAATGCAATGATCCAAAATATAAACTTAGCCCTTACACCCTTTATCATAAATTTGACTCTTTGACTTAAGGAATCAAATCCTTAATTTCCACTCAACGTCCTCAAGCTAAAGAAGTTGTCCAAACTTCCAAGCTTGACTAGTGCAGCTTTCAAGTAGAGGAGTACAGCTTTCAAGCCACCTCTGTTGAATAGTACATAACCCTTAAGATCCTTTAGCCTTTAATCAACACCTATAAATCATACGGATATACACACCTCCATGTTGGAGCCATTCACCTAATCTTAACCATTCATGGTAAAAAGGGGATTTTTGTTACAACTAGGATTGCCTTATTAGACACCAACTACACTATATACAGTAATGCCTTGATTAGAACTTTGCTAACTACTCTTAGTAATGCCATAGCTCTTGCTTTCAACATTAAATTGACAAATTTGACTCTTTCTATCAAACTAAAAGTTCAAATCCAGATAATCAAAGCAAAACAAGAATAGAGATCCATCATGGCTACTTCACACCACCAGATTGTTTATAGAATGCAAAATCATTCGCTTGATCTTTACTTCCCTAACTCAATTAAGGATGTACTATATATGGTAGCTAAACAAGTTAGTGAATCCTCTATGATTCAAATCCTGAGACATCTACCATGAGAGGAGCTAACACGATCAAAACCATTAAAGTGGATTAACAATTATGAAAAGAAGTTTCACTTTGACCAACAAGACATACGTACAAAAGATCCTCCTATTTTGTATAGGTTGCCAAACAAAACTGTCAAATCAGTCTTTAAAAGGCTTAGGTACCAAGAAGTAGGCCAGTCTTTGGGCAAGATCCTAACTATAACATCGGCTTTTGCTCAACGTAAGTGTAATCCTCTTATTGAATTCTTCACAAAAGAAGGCAAGCCAATTTATGGATCCTATGTTAATGGTTACTTTATATGGGATTGTGTTCTAGACATATGTGAACCTGAATGTGATTGTGAATTCTAGGATAATTTTAACGATGATAAGGAATGGTTTAGTAGACGAAAGACTACAAGAAAGGCCAAGCAATATAGGTCTTCTTATACAAACATCTGCCTTCAAATGATGATAATAATAATGTAATAGTAACATCGGTTCAATTTATATTATATACTCACTCTATTTTTTATTATATGAGAAAATGTCTCCTTATTTTTTTATAAGAAAAATTATAAATTTCAAGACAAATTTGGTTAAATATTTATTTTTATAAGACAAATTTTCTTAATTAATCATTGAAATAATTCAATTGAAACTTTTAATTTCAGTCATAATTATTACATTTAATCAACTTTTAAACTGTGCGAGTTGATCATTTTTCTTATTTTTGAAAATGAAAAGAACATTATTTTGAAAAAATCACACCTAGGGTCCCACAAACAAATTTAATTACTAGGAGGTCCTATGAAATACGCAAATACTCTCAAATCCTAAATCTTGCTCATTTACAACTTAGCAAAGGAAAATGATAATTTAATATTAAACTCATACCCAAGTTGTAAATGCTCTTTATCAAGTTATAAATACGTATAATTTAATATTTGAGAGTATTTTGTGCATTTTATGAGACCTCTTGGTAATTAAATTTGTTTTTGGGATCTAGGTGTGATTTTTCCTATTATTTTTCACCAACTTAATATGTGGTCTATTAATTTTTAAACAAACAATCACCCCACCTCCTTCATATTAAAAATACAAGTTTACCCATAAAAAGTAAATAAATACAAAATATATATTTCATTCAATATCATAAAATACTATTTGATCGAATTACATTTTAATAAATTAATTAATTATCTTTAAAATTATATACTCTTTTCATGTTTATCTTTAATTAGTAAAGTGTTTCAATTAAAAATATCTTATTAACTACACTCTTAATTAAGGGTGTTTTTGAAGAAACCTTATTAATTATATTTTAATTGACACAAAATGTCTTATATTTTTTAACATTGTGATTTAAAAAATATCTTATAATATTAAATAAGGGAATACCATTTTCTCATTTTTTGGGGGGAAAAATCTACAATTTTAAAATTTAAAACATCTAAAAAATTTTGAATTGCATAAAAATCCTTTCTAAGTCGTGAATAAATAATCTGTTGACTTTCAAAGCTTATGATAAATTCTTTTTTAAAAGAAATTATGTGAATTTCAACACCGTTGTTCGTTAATTTTCAATTAATTTATTAATGGATCAGGGAAAATTACACAAAAAAAATCCTAAATTTAAGAAGAATTATTCACATAAAAGTAATTATTTTTTTCCCACAACTTATGATGGTTTAAAAACTAAAAGTAGTCAAGCAAGAAAAAAAATTTAATATGCTATAAAAGAGTGAAAAGCTTTGTTTGTATAACTCTTCCATTTCATGTTTTGGTTTTGTAACAAATATGATATGAAGTTTATGCCAACTTAAGATTTCATACATATTTTGAGTTACTTATACGAAAATTTGTATAATATGCGTATCTCGACCTACAATTGATGTGCCTGTGATTAAATGATTGTGAGTGGTCGAGATATTAGTGCAAGTGCTGTTGTAATGTTTTGTATATGGGAATGGCCATAACATGTTATTTTGAATGAAATTATCCCCTTTAAATTCATTATGGAGTGATGGATTTAGTGGTCAATATGTGTTTGGACTACTGTTGTTGTGATATATTTGGCCTTTGAAGTTGTGTGTGGTCCATTTGAATTGGTTTAAGTATTTTCAAGGTTATTGACACTAGTTTGTGAGTTTTTGACACATTTGTGTATTATGGTTTGAAAATGGACTATTTTAGATTCAGATGTCTAACTTTTTAATGGTTGAATATTTAGATGCAAAACCAGTGCCAATAGTTAAAGAGCTCAAATAGCTACATGTAGACACTTAAACCATTCAAATCGAACGTCAAATGCTAAAACAGCGTGCTCTAAAGTTTAGTCTGGAATGTTGTCATGATAGCAAGCGTGCGCTACAGCACATGATAGTAACGCCATGGCACAATGCACAAAGAGGGACAAAGTTACTCTATGCCATCCACCTCGACAGGCAAGGCAAATTCTGGTACTTTTCATATTGTTCTGTTATTGTTTTTAAAAGTTGTTTATGGTTTTCATGCTTTTGTTATCTCATATAATTTATTTTAAACTATAATTTAAACTCAAACATCTTTTTAAAAAGAATTTTTTTGAGATCTCATCATTTTAAACTATTTTATTTATAAACCTTTGAGTTGTGATAATTTTTTTAAGGATTAATTAATCATGGTTATCACAACCATATATTAAAATGTTATCCTGATAATATCAAGGTGAACATTGCAAAAAACAAAAGTAAAAGCAACTTTTTTAAAAGTTGACTTATTTAAATTAAAGATATTTTTTAACAAAAGCTAAAGTAACTTTTTCCTAAAGATAACTTGACAAAACCAAAAGCAAATTCTCACACAAATAAGTTGTAAATACACTTTATCAATTTATAAATAAGCAGAATTTGAGGTTTAAAAGTATTTTATGTATTTTTTAGAACCTCTCAATAATTAAATTTGTTTTGTGACGACCTAATTGTGATTTTTTCTATTATTTTTCACTAAGTTAGTATATGATGAACTAATTTTTAAATAAACAATTACCCCACTTCCTTCATATTAGAAGCACAAGTTTACCAAAAATAAATAAATAACTAAATATAAAATATATATTTCATTGAATATTATAAAATACTTTTAAGCAAATTACCTTTCAATAGATTAATTAATTATTTTTAAAATTATATACTATTTTCATATTTATCTTTATTTAATAGAGTGTCTCAATTAAAAATATCTTATTAAGTACACTCTTAATTAAAAATGTTTTTGAAGAAATCATATTAATCATGACATAAAATGTTTTATATTTTTTAACATTACATTTTAAAAAATGTCTGAATAGATGAATAATATTTTCTCATTTTTTTGGAAAATCTACAATATTGAAATTTAAAACATCTAATAATTTCTGAATTGCATAAAAATCCTCTCTAAGTCATGCATAAATAATCCGTTGACTTTCAAAGCTTACGATAATTTTTTTTTAAAATTATGCGAATTTTAACACCGTTGTCTATTAATTTTCTGTTAATTAACGACGGATCATGGAAAATTGCAGGGGAAAAATCCTAAATTTAAGAAGAATTATTCACATAAAAATACTTTTTTTTCCCGTCAACTAATGATGGTTTAAAAGTCAAGCAAGAAAAAACGTACCAAGACATTTGCCTTGATGATGGTGTCGCGTGTATGGCCCAAGGCAGAGTCGTCTTCTTCAATTACAGAAAGCATGAAGTCAATAAAATCCTGCTTCTCACTGAACTCTTTCTTCTTCACACGATGCTCTTCAACCCAACTTGACGCCAGAGAATCCAGATCATTCGCAATCCTCTTCATCGATCTCAGTACCTTTCCTTCACCACGAAACCATCCCAGAAACGGAATCAAATCTGAAGGAACAAATTCTCCAGAAATATGCATGAAATCCTTTATCAGCTTCACAACCCTACGTGCCTCTTCATCATCCACATCTTGCAAATTCCCAAAATACCTCTTCCCTGCAATCATCTTCGTGATTACGTTCAGCGTCAATCGCTCCAACCACTCGCTAATCACAATCCTACCTTTATTATTACCATCTCCGACGATGTACGAGTACAGATCGCCGATGAAAACATCGATCTCAGATTCATACACTTGCCTCAACGATTCCAGTCGCCGAGCCGATAGTAGCTCGAGCATGACGAGCTTCCTCAATTTGCGCCAGTACGGGCCGTCGGGCGCGAACCCGAACCCGGCGAAGTTGTAACCGAGGTAGACGCCGTGGCTGGATCTCGGGCGACAGGCTAGGGTTTTGTCGTTGGTGGTGAAGCAGTCTTTAATGGCGTCTTGGCTGCTAACAACGAGGGCAGGGAAGGCTCCGAGTCTGATGGTGAAGATGGGGCCGTACTTGTCTGCGAAGGAAGCTAAGGTGTGAGCAAGAGGAGCTTGAGCTCCAAGAAGATGAAGATGACCCAAAAGGGGTAAGGCTCCTGAAGGTTCTGGTGCTACCATGCCTTTGGTTGTGTGGTTTGGTGAGTTTTTCTGAGCTCTGATGATCCATACAAGTAGTGACAAAAGAAGGATTGAAATTGCTGTTATTGTTGGGAGAGAAAGAAGATCCATTATGGTTTCTCTCATGTATTTGAAGCTTTGAGAAGATGATAATCCTTGATTTTTGTATCAATTGCTATGTCAACGTTTATTAAAGGAAGAAGACGACGACCACGACGACGACCATTACATGGCAAATATTGTCTAATTCAAAGGTACGTGATAAATGGAGGAAAACGACTTGCCACACAAATGGAGGACAGGTGGACGAGATGGATAAGGAGAAGAGGGTAAGAAATAGGAATGTACCACCTTTAAGTTGAACTAGATCTCCTTCCTAGTATAATGCTAGAAAGTTTGTATTTTAATTCATTTATCTTAATGAAATTTGATCATTACTTGAACAAAAAGAAAGAGAGGGTAAGAAAATGACGGAAAGATTAAACATTGAAGAGATCATATGAGGCGTCAAAAATGAGGATGACTTGGAACCTAATGGGATTATTGATTTGACAAACGGGATCGAAATTTCATCACTTTCGACGGCCTTTTTAAGTCTTTTACGATGCCTAATAAAAAAAATGATAATTTAAATAATTCTCATTACATCTAATATCCTAAACTTGCTCCATTTTGAGTATAGGTGACTTTAGTTAGGTCCAAATTAATCCGGATTAAAGTAGATTGGGACCCTTTTTTACTAGAAATTCTGTCACCAACACAGCTACATCCTCAAAGTTCGAAATCAACTAGTCACACTGTTCTGTTTGCCATCAATTATCAACTACAACTAGGCAGGGTGTTATCTCTTACATCATGAGCTTGTATAGGTGGTCTCTCATACACATAAGCAACAATAATACGTCACATGAACGCTGGTTAAAAAAAAAAACGGTCATATGAACAAATTATGCAAAAATTACACAAAATAGATTGTAAATTATTGGATGGAAACTTAGATATGGAATAAGTTTAACTCAAGTCCTCCTCCAATATTTGCAAATTAAAGCACATTTAATTACGAAATGTATACATATCTTTTAGCGATGATTTAAGGCCTGTTTAAATAACTTTCAAAAATACATTCAAACTATATTTAGGATGTTTTTTCCAAATTCAACAAATAGTTGAATTCCTCAAATGTGATTTTGCTAGATGTAAACTGAAAATTATTTAGTTTTGAGTTTATTAAAAGTTCATTTAATAAAAATTAGTTCATTGAAAGTCATTTGCTGTAACAAAATTTATGTTTAGATATAATTTTTTAAAAGTTAATTTGATAAATTAAAAGTTATTTAGATTGATGATGATTCGTACTTTTGAAATATACTTTTGAATATACATTAAACAAAAATAATATTGATGTATGATAATTTATAATTTTTATTATACAAATATAATATATTAGAAATGTTTAAAAAATATAAAATAACATATTAAGAATAAAAAATGTAAAGTTTAATATGTTGGAAAAATTATATAATAAATAGTTTAACATTTATTAATATTAAATAGTTACATAATTAACAGTTCAATCTATATAATGTATAATTCAATTTCTAATTGAATCATGAACTATATTCATCCCTTTATTAGATGTCACATTTAAAATTATACTTGAAATTAATGATGAAAAAGTATGCTTGTTAATATCATCATGAGGAGATGACAAAATAATGAAGGGTAACACAGTCAAATATAAATTAGCTACAAATCATTAATGTCCCAACATTCTCATTTTATGTTTGAATAGTACTTCCTTTCTTTAATCCTATTTATAAAACACTTTCAGCATGTTTTATTATAATAAAAAAATCTTAAATTTATTAACTTTATCTTAAAACTTAACAAATTTTTACTTTTATCCTTAATAAATATTTTTAAATTTTATTACTAATATTTTTATTTAAAACATTTAATAAGAGAAAAAAAAGTAAGTGCCCTATAAATAAAACTAAACTTTGTATTCTTTCCCTACCCTATAAATTGAACTAGAGGAGTAGAGAATTTGAGCATTCAAAAATTTACATTTAAAGCTTGTTGGAAAATATATTTGAAAAGCTCATTTGCTCTTTCAAATTGCACCCAAATAACTTTTCACATCCCACAAGTGAAAAAATTTTTTTGAGATGCAAAAAGTAACTCACCTAAAAGGACCCTTAAATATTTACCACATTATTAGGCCTCCCATTAAATTTGAGCGCCTATTTGATTTCTCATGTTGTGAGAGGCTAGCCCCTTTTGCTAAATTCAATTTTCATTGGTTATAAAATTTGTTATTATTAATACATACTCCTTTTAAAGCTATTTATAAGTTACTTTTAATACGTTTCATTGAAATTAAGGAACAATTTAAAACATATTAATTTTATCTTAAAATTTAATAACTTTCCACCTTTACATCTAATAAAGACAAAAAAAATATTTTCAATAACTTTTTCTAACATTTAATGAGGGTAGAAAGGTAAAGATGAACATGAAAAATAATGAAGTGTTTTATGAATAAGATCAAAGTTTATCTTCTCTCCTTGCTCTATGAATAAAACTAGAAGAGTAATTTCTTTGCTTGAGATTTCCTTATAATTTTCTCTTTTTTCTAATTTTCTTAGTCGTTTTCAGCTTTTCTTTTTCTAACTTTTTTTTTTTTTTGGTGTAGAATGTGGATTTGAGAGTTGAATTTGAGACTCACAGTTGCTAACGGTAACGGGCTCAGGACAGGATTGAGAGACAGAGGCCCATACAGATTTACAGTGTGATTATCGCAGTCTGCACGTCTGCTTCTTTGCTCGCCTTGAGCTCTACCTTCGCGTACTGTATCTCTGTGTGCCCTTCCAAGGTTTCTTGTTTCATCTCCACGCGAAAATTCTTGATTAATGTAATCTATCGTCTTCATCTTGGCGCTGGAAAAATTACATATTTCGAATTCATAAAGCATTTACGAATTGAGCTTTTAGGTATTTTTTGTTCCCTTGAGGGTTTTACGTTTGTGTGTATGCTGGAGGGATAAAAAATGGAGGGGATAGGAAGAAATGATTTAATAAATATTTTCCTTCTAAAATTTGAGGGATTAAGGGAAATAATTGATTTAATTTTAATTTAATTTCAAGATCCTCACTGCAAAAAGTACACGTTTCTGCACTCCTACAGTCGCCGCTCTGCTTCTTTGTTGCATCAGCCTCCCTCTCGCCGTCACTGTAGCCACTTCAGTTTGGCGAGGCTTTGGTAACAGGTGAGCTTTCGATCTATTGCTCTGGTAGTTTAGAAATTTCTGCTGATTTAAGATCGCATGCCTTTTTCAAAACTGGTTTCAGCTGTCGTTAATTGGTTTGATTGAAAAACCACATGGATTCCTTTGGCTTTCAGTGGACATGATAATCTATGTTTGGAGTTTATGTCTGTCTCTTCTCTTTCATGAGTTATATTAGAGCTAAAATTTTGTCATTGCAATGAAGTAATTCACAGTTTCTTAAAGGTGGAGACGATTTCCATTTGAATTTTTATGAATGCCATCATACCCAATTTGAAAACATCAACATCCTTATATAGAAATCATGTAAGTATATATTGTTTATGCTTAAATTCATGTCTAGCTTCATACATCTTTCCATTCTGTGGATTTTTTTTTTTTTTTTGCTCTTTTTCCTCAAATATTGATAGTATAGGTTTTCTATGAGACTAACTCCAGTAATCTTCCTTGCATATTTGGCATGACTGATTTCCTGTTGGAGGAAAAGGTAAAATTTTTCTTCATTAAATTAAATCACTCACATTCTCGACACCTTGCATTTGATCTAAATATAATCAACGACAACTAGGTTGCCCAAATTTGCCAATAAAACCACTTATTCCATATAGAATTACATGCAGAGATATTAAGTTAGAGGGAAGGCAAAATCAAAATTGGATTAGATAAATTCAGAGAATTTGGAGATAATGGTAGCATTGTTTTCAAGTGACATCGATTTTCTAGCAAAAAAATAAATAAATAAAGAAATAAATAAATTAATTTCATTGTTCAATTAGGACATCTCAGGTTACCTTGTGTTAGATATCTGTTAGTTATTTTGAGGGATTTGGTAGAGAGCAAACCCAAAGCCACAAAAGTAACTTGCGTGCATGGTTAACACCATTTTATGTTGGCTGTACTGATGTTGTTGGTTGTACTTTTGCTTTGGAAAATGCCTATGGAAATATTAATTAGCTTGGCTGCGGTGGCATTTACAGTTAGATATTTCTTTTGTTTTTTGTGTCTATATTAAGTGTTAAGAACTTTGATTCTCAGTTGATTCTTATATGTTATGCTTATATCAGGAAAGTCTGAAATTTGACTTAATCTGACTTTTTTCCCTTTTGTTGTAAAAATATGGCAAGACGATTTGAACTTAGGACTTCTTGAAAACTTGTGGCTAGAATTTTTGTCCAAGCTAGAACTAGAAGATTCATATGCTATTTAGCTGTAACTCGTGACATTTTTCTTTGATGGAACTAATAAGTTTGTTTTAATAGAATCTTGGTGTTCTGATAGCCATAGCATTTGAGTTCATATTACCCTACTGATCATGTGATTCAATGGACGTGAACCCCAGAAAATGCATTGGCTTATGATTGACGAGTTTTGGGTGGTGAAAAATGTCAGCTCAGATCTGTGATATTTTTGCAGATTTTACATGCACATTAAGGGAATTAGGTGGGTTAGTGCAATTAGTGACAACCTCTCGTCTTGCTAGTATTTTTTAGCTACTATATTGGTAAACAACACCTTATAATAACACCACATTGAGCAGTCAGATACTAGTATGAAAAGGAGCCATTAGTAATTGCACCTTGGCCATTAACATTTCCTATATTGTATAAAAACCAATTTCATTGTCCTTGCATCATAGTTAGACATTTTTCAGCTAGTATTACTGAATCCTTGCTGTATAATTCTTTTCAAATACTGCTCTGATGCTTATGGGTGCCTTGGTTATGGCGCCCATTATGAATTTGGTATGTATCATAATTTTGTATTGTTTTTCTACAAATTGATGTAAATTTTATTTTATTTTTAATATTAGAATTATAATATTTCAGTTGAGATTTGTGAGATTAGAATTATAATAAATATGAGATTTGTGTAATACACAAGGCTGAAGCTGTTGACATTTCTAAATTAAGAGTGGGACGAGTTATAATA